CCCCCCCCGACTCATTTTTTTTTTGTAATTTTATACGCCTTTTGGCTTATGTAGCACACTTCGTGACTCCACACAGTTGAGATGCGTGAGAGATGTTTGGATGCCACGTAAGTCAAAAAGGTGTACAAAATTACAAAGGTTCGGAAGGGGGGGATAATAGGACCTTAGTTTAGTTAAGGTGTGTCTCTGAGATTTCGATCATAGTCTAGGGATACTTATGTCTTATCCATTAAAATAACCTTGTATAACTTTGAACAATAAAGGGCAAACATTTACACACTCGATATTTACAAAAGATAAATAAATACTTTATTCAATATTTTAATTTACATGAACCCTTTTTTTAGTTCGTCTACAAAAAGAATTATCTCTTTCTAAGTTCGAAAATAGTTTAATTTGAACTTCTCATTTTACTCTTAATATATGAGACCTCGAGAACCAACATTTAATTATCTAACGCAGAAGAGAAAGAACATATATTTGGACATTATATATTAAAAAGATTCTGATTTTTTTTCCACATATATTATAGAAGAATAAAATCATTGACAAATCTTTCCTTTTTCATCTCTGATTTTAAACTAAAGTTTTTGTCTTGCTTTGTGGACTACAAAAGAATCCCTTTACAAATGCCAAAAGGTGATAATTAAAAGCAAAATGAAAAATCAAGGATTAGAATTAGTAGGATATAATTAATAATTTATATCCATAATTACTTAAAATCCATAATCATTAAGAATATGAAATGGTTCTTTGTCCACTAAAAATTCATCATTGAAAAATAGATAAATAACACTAGAAATTAAACATGCGTGTAACTTTGTAGTGCAAAGTGCAAACTCCATTAAATGAAATGCCACTAATGCTAATATTACCAACTTTAATTACTAGAGGGGACATTATCAAATTTTATTTTCAAAGTGTGTTCTTTGACAAAATCCTGGATATTGTCATGGAGCTAATTCTTTTTTTTTTAACTTTAAAATTCATGACGGTATTCTAGTTTTTTCATTTATTTAAGTTCGAGACTTATGACATTATGGACAGTGTTTCCACATAAAAAGTGATTAATTCTCGATTATGTTTTTTTCGATTATGTTTGCGAAAATTGATATGAAAAGTAACTATATAACTTTCTCATATAAATTTTCATTCACTTCATTAATAGTAAACGATGCGATACGTTTCACCTTCCTATCTCTTCTTCTCTTGCACCAAAATAAAAACTTTACGTGGTCCATTATTAATAAAATATAGAGGAAACTCCCAATTTTCCAAAGAACTACTTTTGTATTGTTTTCAACTTTATACCCCCCCAAAGTATATTTGTTTAATTAAAAGGGAAAGAAAAAGAAAATTAAAGAAGGTTAAAAAATAAAGTCCTAGTTATAAATACTTAAATCACATGTTGTGCCGCAAAAAAGGGAGTTTATGTGTTACTATAATGCAAAAGGCACTAAAAAAAATGTGTTTTCTTGATGTGACACAATATAAAATTTGCTTTATTCATGGCTGCTACACAAAATAGGGAACAGGAAATTAAAGGTTTAGAATTGATTGGACAAGTTGAAAAGTGACTAGATAAATAATATATTATTTTTTTATTTCTCAATCTAATGTTTGGTACTATCCCGCATTGAAACCTAACTATTTAGAATTTAATTTATACCGCATAAAAGGAAGTAGTCTCGACTAAAAAAAAATTCATATCTAAAATTTAAACTCGAGATCTTTAATTTAGGAAGGAACGGTCCATCTAATACACCATATGATCCCTCAATGGTAGATAAATAATATTTATGGAGTATATATTATCTATTGATGAAAGAAAATAGTGACAAGAAATGAAGTTTGATGACTCGCAATATTATATGAACCTATTAAGGATAATGATTTTATCCTAATTTCAAATTTATACCTAATTTCAAATTTAGTTAAGTCATCAGTATATAATAATGTCTAGCAGTGACCTATTTTTTGGTTTCTCATCCGGTGTCCGGTATCCACATTGAAGCCCGACTAAATCCGGATTCGTGCCAGGAAGTCCCACGTTGGGGGTAAAGCGCTCCCTAACAAAGGCGACTCCGTACCCAAGGGGCTTGAACCCGAGACCTCTTGGTTAAGGATGAAGGAGTACTTACCACTCCACTGACCTATTGCTTAAGTGATAAACTCAATTATTCGTCCTTCGAAATGGCTCCGTTAGTTTGAATTAAGGATGGTCATCCACATAAGTGATTCGGGATCAATCCCCTTCAATGCCTATTATAGCAGCTATAGGTTATTTGTCAATGGTATTACATACATCATTTTAATGACTCAACGTCTTACAATTGATTAGTCATAATTCTGATTGAAAATATTTTTTAGTAATTTTTTTTCTACCTAGTAATCCATGTCCTTCTCCCTAGTTTCTGAACTAGTGATATTATTCGTTTTATGCCTAGATCCATACGCCTTTAAATATGTTATTAGGATCTAAAATTTATTCTATTATGTACTCAGCATCTCTCTCGTGCTTTGCTGACGTGGAATTTGTCTAGAATATGATAATACTAACAAAACCTAGTGGGAAGGAAAAATTGCCAAAATGATTAAAACAGATACTAAACTCAATATGGATAGCTAGTACCTAGACATTATTTGTTGCAAAATATTCAAGGTGGTCTTTTTAAAAAAATTCAGACTTGTCATCATCATATAGAAAGATTAACAGTAGAACATTGTCATCCAAACATTCAACAAAATGAGTGATTGCTAATTACCAATGACTAGCTATCTTGTAGTGTACAATAACGATAATAAATTTGGTGTAATTTTCAAACGAAATTTGAAGAGTGAAAAGAATAAAGTATACACAGATCATAGTCTATTTTTATTTTTATGGGATGGAACCGATGTTTCTGATTAATCCTCGACAGTTCTTCTCTTTTTTATCTGAGTTTGGAACTGATAATGTGAACGAGCTCGCAACACTATCTCAATATTATTATAGTTTGGTGTTAAAATAGGAGATGCATTATATAGATTTAGGTACATTGTATCTTGTACATATAATCACTATTTAAGCCTTTTAGTTTCTTTTCTGGAACTGTTTTATCTTTTATTTAACAGTATCATCCACTTTATGCAAATTAACAATTAGTACTCACTCTGTCTCATTTTAACCGTTGTTTTAATCTGTTTCAGGCTTATTTTTTTTAAAATGTGAAATATAAGAAATAGTTTACTAAGCTGCTTTTATTTAGTGAATATAAACTGATTTTTTCAATATTATGAATATAGTTTGAACATAATTGTCAATTTTAATCTTAAATTTTGAAAGTGCTAATTATTTAGGGAGTACTTGATAGTACTTGATATCCCTATATTTGCTTGGACCCTCCTGAATGTTGTTGCACTCATATCGAATTCTTAAAGAACACATAGATAGCCTCAAGATCATATGGAGTCATTACTCAAAAGGTTGTTCAACTATCTAAAATTTGAGTATTTGTTTCTTTTTGGACTCTCAACTTATGTCTACTTGTCTAGTATAGACGCATTATGGCTCGACTAAATCCTTTGTGTCAGAAAGTTTCACATTCGAAGG